CAAAGATGTGTCTATTGAGCCCTTCTAGTGAGGGAGTCTCTCAGGAAGGGCGGCTTTTTATAGGGTTTGGGCTGCCTTGGGTGCTTTGGAGGAAGGTTCTGGACTTAATACTGTCAGGAAGCAGGGCTAATTCTGTCAATCTTTTCTAGAAGGTGTGAGGAAAGAAGGTAGGCCAAACCCATACTTGATAAAGAAGCAAGTTCTTCATGTTAGCCAGGGTAGGGGGATATGGACCCATTTGTGGTTTAAACAATGTGCACATGGCTGTGTGTACTCAGATAGGATTATGAAGTTCTCTTGTTTTTCTCTTGATCCATCAAAGTCACATCTCAGACCTTGTTTGATGTGGACATTCTGAGAAGCGGTTTCACAGGAAGACACCAAGTCCCACCTGATAGCACCAGGCCAGTATCAGCTGTCAGAAGATGCTTCTCTCCTTCTAACCAAAAATCGAAGTATCATCGATGCCCCTTTTGTATTCACCCCTGTATTTAATCAGTTAGCAAGTCCTATCGGCTTTATTTGTGAAATGCTTCCAGATTATCTTTCTCTATTCCCATTGCTCTCATAATGGTCTCAGAAAAAAAAAAAAAATGAATAAACCTCTTTTGCCTAATGTAAATAATGGATTAGGTTTACATTTTCTTAGTGGTGTTTACAATCCAGTTTTGCCTCCCTTAGTTAACATCCCATTTATCTCAACTGGATTTAAAAGGTAGTCTCCTGGCTGGCTGGCATGGCTCAATGGTTGAGCGCCTACCTATGAACCAAGAGGTCACGGTTCAATTCCTGGTCAGGGCACATACCCAGGGGGCATGCAGAAGGCAATAGAGGATTCTCTGTCATCATTGCTGTTTCTATCTCTCCCTCTCCCTTCCTCTCTGAAATCAATAAAAATGTCTTTTTTTTTTTTTTTTTTTTTTTTTTTTTTAAAAAGGAGTCTCCTGGGGATCATTTCCACAAATGGTCACCTCATTCCTCACTTAAAAAAATATCCTGCTAGATGATATTATATACACATATAAATATGTATTTATAAAAAGGGAGTCCTACTCTCTATATTCTGAAATTTTTTTTTATATTTATTGAATGCCTATCCAGATTTATTCTTTCATTCAGAATTTGATACCAGGCTGTATACCCCTTATCAGGCAATGTATTAGAATTAATAGTTTATTAGGTACTTCCTATTTGTAAGTGCTTTTTGCTCAGAAAAAGTCAAGTATTTCTCACAGTAACTCTAAATCGGATGCTTTTATTACTCCCATTTTACAGATGAGGAAATTGAGGCAAGTTATGGTTCCAAATTCCCTCAGCTGTAAGTAAAGGAATTTAATCCCAGATCATAAAAGTTCTGGTGTATTATGGCTACTAGTTTGAAGAAGAAAAAGTGTGTATATGAGAACAAAAAGGAGGATGTAATATGTTAACAGGAAATGTTGTGTTAAGACATGGGAGTTTTTCATTATTATTTTAAAGCATATTTTATTTATAAATGCATTAGTGTTTATCTCTAACGAATACTTTTCCAAAATACATAATTACAATGCTATTATCGTGCCTAAAAAAAATTAGTAATAATGCTTTAAAATCATCTATTCAGTATTCCTATTTTTCCAAGTGCCCCCAAATGTCTTTTTATAGTTGGGTTGATGGCATCATGATTCAACATTGCATTAGATTTGCCTATCTCTTGAGTCTCCTTTACTCCTTGTCTGCTTTCTTCCTTGTTAATTATTTGTTGACTCCCTAGGTCATCTGGACATTGTCATTGTTGTCCTGAGTACTGATGGTGGCGATGAGGCATCTTCACATGACTCCTCAGGTCCAAGGGAGCCTGGAGCAGAAGAGGGAGGACACGGCAGATATTTCCACCTGCTTGGTAAGCACGGTCCCAGTGGGTGCTAGCTTCCTCTTGTAAGCAAGTAGGACTCTGCAGAAGAACTAGGGCTATCAGTATTATCATGACCCAATTCATTCTCTCTTGCCTGCAGGAGCCTCCAAGCTGTTCTCTTTGTTCTACTCTTGCCCCTGCAGCCCAATAGCCAGACATATTTGTCCACCATGCAACCCGATGTGCTCTGCCCCTGCTTTAAACCCTTCCCTAACTCCCTATTACTCTTGGGAGAAGGTCCAATCTCCTTCAGGCTCCACATTCCTTCAAAATCCCTCACCTTCCCACCTCCCCAGCTTTATATCTTCCCACTCCCCACCTGATATCTGCATCTAGCAATTTGGATTTTCTTCCGTTTTCTATTGAATTTCTCTCTTTTCCTCTCTCTTACCTTGAAACTTGGATACGTTTATCCTTCTCCCTGCTAACAACTGCCATCTTTTACATCCAAACAGACCTTTCCAGCATATCAAATGTTTGTGGTGCTTTAGGAGCCAGAAGAAAGGAACTATTTTAGATTACAGACAATGACGAGTGGTCCTGTTTTAAAGTCCTGGAGAACCTTATGCAATGTATTCTGCCAAGAGCAGGCTTGAAAGTAGAAAATGAGGGATTTTCACACGGCTCTTGGGGGTTAACATCAATGAGAATGCCCACAGTGTTCCTTGGTTTCCTTGGTGCCCGTGACGGGGGCAGAATAAATGGGCAATTGGACGGAGCACTGAACCTTCTCCCTTGTTTCCACATTGTCCCGAGGAACAATGGAGGGGGCTCCTGTACGCATTCTTGGCTATTTATTATACTTTGTTCTCACAGCTCTCACATGTGTTTAAAAAGATAAAACTGGATTTATTCATAAGCATTTGCCCCTGCATTACACTGTGGTGTGGTCTACAATTTTCCTTATAATATTTCTGCATGCAGAGTGTGATAGAATGTGTGTGTTGGCTTTGATCCACCCCGGGGCAGGTATGCTCCTCCCAACCACAATGTCAAGGAAATTTAATCAAAGGCACCTCCTACAAGCGCGGTCGCTACCTCACTGCTCATTAACATTAGCCATGTTACAATGAGTTTTTTGTGGATAACATGAGTGGTATTTAAGATTTTACATAGATATCTATAATCATAAAAGCATAATATGCTAATTAGACCAGACGTCCTTCCGGACGACCTTCCGCAGGAAGCTGGGGCTGTGAGGAAAGCCCAGGTCCCAGGTGCCGGTGGCCGGAGATCGGGCCTCTAATATATATGTTAGAATTACTGGAGGTGTTTCCATCCTGACATTAATAAGGCATAGAAATCCAGTGAGCTCTTCCATCTCCCACACTCAAGATGGCACCCCAGGTTTGATTCTTAAGTGGTCCTGTGCCTTATACTGGTGGGGAGAGTTCTTGGTCATATCCTGCCACTAGAACACTTTTTCATTTGCCTCAGAGGAAACATATGTTTGGAAAAACAAAGAGGAACAGAGCTGGAACTTGATTATTTCTAGAATATGTGGTTTGGCTGTTTCATTCCTACTCGCTAAATGTCCTTTACTGGAGGCAGATTTTTTGGTGAAACTTGCTTTCATTGAAACCTGGTAGAACCAAAGGGTGAAAGAGGAAATCACAGGGGAAATTAGAAAATGCTTTGGGATGAATGAAAATGAAAATGCAACATACTGAAATGTAGGGGATTCAGTAAAAGCAATGGCTAGGGGAATTTACAGTTATAAATGCCTATTTTAGAAAAGATCTCAAATCAGTGATCTAAAACTTCCACCAAACTAAACCCAAAGCAAGCTGAAGGGAGGAAAGAATAAAGATTAGAGCAGAAATAAATGAAATAGAGAATAGAAAAAATAGAGAAAAATCAACGAAATAAAAAGTTGGTTCTTTGACAAGATGAACACAATTGACAAACCTTTAGCTGTTGGATGGACTAAAAGAAGCAGAAAGTAAAGACTCAAATTACTAAAATTAGGAATGAAAGAGGGAATTATAAGTGAATACTTTGTACAAATATATGCCAACAAATTAGATAATTTAGATTAAATGGATAAATTCCTATCCCAGCTGGTGTGGCTCAGTGGTTGAGCATTGACCTATCTACCAGGAGGTCACGGTTCAATTCCTGGTCAGGGCATATGCTAGGGTTGTGGACTCGATCCCCAGTAGAGGGTGTGCAGGAGGCCGTTGATCAATGATTCTCTTTCACCATTGATATTTCTATCTCTCCTCCCATCCTCTCTGAAATCAATAAAAAAAAATGTTTAAAAAATGGATAAATTCCCAGAAAAACACAAAACTGATTCAAGATGAAATGTTCACAACTCTGAGATAGGTACTATTATTATCAATATTTTAAAGAAATGAAGCTTAGCACAATGATGTACAGCAAGTAAGTGACAGAGCTAGGACTGAAACCCAGGTGTGTTAGCTCAGGCTACCATGACTAGACGGCTTAACTAGCAGGAATTAATTTTCTCAGGGTCTGGATGCTGGAAGTCCAAGATAAAGGTGCCCCTCCCGGGGAGTTTCAGTTTCCGGGGAGGAGTCTCTTCCTGACTTGTACATGGCAGCCTTCTTGCTGGCTTTTTCACAGGGCCTTTCCCCAGCGCGTGAATGTGGGTAGAGCGAACAAGGGAGCCGTCTGGTTTCTTTCCTAAGGGCACTGAACCTATCGAATTACGGCCCCACATTTATGATCTCATTTAATTTTAATAACTTTCCTAGAGGCACCATCTCCAAATACAGCCACACTGGGGTAAGGGCTTCAAAGAGGCATTTGGGGGGTGGTGGGGGAGGGGGGTGGGGACATATACACTTGGTCCATAACACTATGTCTGACAGGAGCAGAGAGTCTCAAATTAGTCAAGAACCAATCAGATGTGGCGGTGGGAGGTGGGTGCTTTCATTTGCTCCACTGAGCCAGAAACTTGAATCCAAATAGGGCTGCTAACCTCTCAGAAGCATACCACCCATAGGGCTTTGTCAGGGAACACTTGAAAGTGTTCCTGGCTTTAGAAGTCCAACTAAACGGAAGAGTTTAGAATAAAAGGGAAAGATTTTGCAAGGGGGTTGGGGGTGGGGAGTAATCCCACGGACTCAGAAGCCATGACTCAGAAATAAAGTCTTTTTTTAAATTTATTCCCCAAGTCAGAAATGACTTGCTGGGAAGCCCAATGACCTTTACAGTTGATGGCAACAGGTAAGGGAAGTTTCTTTGAAGTTCCTCCAGAGATGTCATTTGAGGCAGTATTTATCTGATTTCTTTTTGCGGTCAGATTGTTTTGGTCCTGATCATTGTTCTGAAGAAGGAATAAAGATTGTCTGTGGAAGTATATCAAAACTCCTTTCATCTTCTTTACAGAAGAACCCAATTTAGCCAGGACATTTGCTTGCGTTGTAATTATTTACTTAAAGGACTCCCTGTGTGTTTGCAGACAAGTAACTCATTCTCCTTGTAAATTGTGAGGGGTTAGAGATTGTACTGATATCCCCAAGTACCATTAAGCAGACAGCTGTTGTGGTCCATTTTCCTTTAGAAGATCCATAAATCCTCAAATGTTACTGGGTCAGGATTCAGAAGATACGAATTCTTAGACAAAGATGAGAGAGGATGCGAAGGAGCTGCAGTGTTAAGCTCTGGTAGTATGGAAACCATGGTTCAGAACCCTGGATTTTTAGTTATAAACAAGCAATTCTCTCCAAAAGTTTGAATATTGTTTCCTGGAATTTTAAAATCAGAATTTTCTATTTTAATCTTTGATCCAGAGACTTAAAGAATACCTTTGTTGTTGTTGTTGTTCTGGAAATGAATCAAGAACTTAAAACTGAATTTCCAAAGATCCAAAAAGGGAAGTGGAGTTGCTTCGGGCTGGGTTAGAAGAACATGGAAATCATGACAAGAGATTGTCAACTGTCCAGAGAAATTAAAAGTGCTTTACCTCAAGGTGGAGCTGAAACTGTGGTTAGTGTTTAATACCAGACTGATTCTTGGTAATAGTAACTACATTTTGAAATGTAGGCCAGAGACCCTTAGGCAGCTTTGCATGTTACCAAACGATGTCCTGAAGGTCTAGCCATTAGGAAGGTGTGGCTCTAGAGCAGGGGTGGGCAAACTTTTTGACTCGAGGGCCACAATGGGTTCTTAAATTGGACCGGAGGGCCGGAACAAAAGCATGGATGGAGTGTTTGTGTGAACTAATATAAATTCAAAGTAAACATCATTACATAAAAGGGTACGGTCTTTTTTTTTTTAGTTTTATTCTTTTTAGTTTTTTTTTTAATATATTTTATTGATTTTTTACAGAGAGGAAGGGAGAGAGATAGTCAGAAACATCGATGAAAGAGAAACATCGATCAGCTGCCTCCTGCACATCCCCCACTGGGGATGTGCCCGCAACCCAGGTACATGCCCTTGACCGGAATTGAACCTGGGACCCCTCAGTCCGCAGGCCGACACTCTATCCACTGAGCCAAACCGGTTTTGGCATATTCTTTTTAGTTTTATTCATTTCAAAGGCACGGCTGCTCTAGGGCAAAGGTTGGCAAGCCCATGGGCAAATCTAGTCCAATGCCTGTTACGTAAAGTGCTACAAGGCCTATGGCTGGCTAAGCCAAAGATATGTACTTCCTCTCCTTTTGCAGAAAAAGTTTGCCCAAACCTCCTCTAGGGCCTCAAGTCGGCCCCGTCCCCACCTCCTCTATTGGTCTAGCTAGGGGCATGGTGTGTCAGCATCACATGAAAAATTGACCAAATTCTGGCTCGGCTGTTTCTGCTGGCATGACAAGCCTTGCCATCCGTTAATGCTTGAGCCATATGTTTAATTAAGATGATATAAGCAGTTAAAGTGATCTAGCAGAAGCCAGAAAATAAATAAGAACTTTATTTAAAAAAAAATCAGCAACAATTAGAGGGGAATCATCTTTAACTTGATCTTTTCTTCTATATTTGAAAAGTATCTCATCTTTGTTAAAATTTCCTTGGCTTTTTCAAAATCATCTGAAATAAACAGAGACATTAATGTGAGACTTCATTTCAGGCAAGAATAAAACTAAGTCTATTGATTAAAGAGCTGGATTAAAGTTGAGCCCCCACCTCTGGAGGGCTGGGCAAGTTCATCCATGTTGGAGCATGTGTCAGAATCTCCTGCCTTTTTAAGGCTGAATAATATTCCATTGTATGGATATGTCATATTTTGTTTATCTGTTCAATTACTGATGGACACTTGTTAGCTATTATGAAAAATCCTATGAACATGGGTATTGACAAGAATCACGCCCTTGACCAAAGTCTAGCCAGACTCCTCTGAACTCTCTTCTCAAGTAGGCCTCAACCTTGACCTATACTAACATATGATAACATAGCTTCTAGTAAGTCAAGGCCACATCCCTAGATAATCCTAGACCTTCTTACAATGCCTCCCCGAGTAAACTCAAGGCTGACAAAAGAACTTACTATTTATTGCAGCCAATATGAAAGGATAGGGTTTCTGTTTCCCAGGGAGGGTAGGAGCCTCACTTCAGTAAGTGCCAGTTAGCAAACCCAGATGGGTTTCACATGGACCAATTCCCCTCCCCCCACTTCCTGCTTTGGAATTTTTCACTTCGAAGATCCCTCTGACCTTCTGTGCACCACCACCGCATTTCCTCATTCTCCCTTTAAGGCGCCCAGTCACAAACTTTAGTTGCGTTCAGTTCCCAGTGGACTCTTTTCCCTAACGCAATAGTTATTACTGATTCAAATCTGCACTTAGCACTTTAGTGCCTGGCTTTGTTTATCGTTGACAATTATCCACCACCGTGACTCGGGTCTGGATTGGAAACACCATCGGACCCCTGGTTGTGACAGCCAGGCCTTTCAACATGGAGAGGCCCTTGTCTAACCTCTCGTCTGATGCTTGTTTGGGTACTTGGTGGTGAGGACAGCTCCAATTCTCCAGACAAATGTCTGAAGCACCGTGAAGACAGATTTTGATTCTTGCAATTCTGAGTAGACTCTCTGAAGCTGGGTCAGCGTCCCAGGCCTCTTTTGAAAGGTATCCCCTAGAGCAGTGATGGCAACCCTATGACACGACACGCGAACTCACTTTTTTGGTTGATTTTTCTTTGTTAAATGGCATTTAAATATATAAAATAAATATCAAAAATATAAGGCTTTGTTTTACTATGGTTGCCAAGATCAAAAAATTTCTATATGTGCCACGGCACCAGAGTTAAGTTAGGGTTTTTCAAAATGCTGACACGCCGAGCTCAAAAGGTTCGCCATCACTGCCCTAGATTCTGGGCTAGAATCCTTCCGGGTTCCCTGTTTCCAGCGAGGATTGGCTCCCAGGCTGGAATTTTTTTTTTCCTGGCTCTTTGTGAGGCCTCTTTGTTCTATTTGAGTCAGCTCCTCCATGAGAACTTCTCAATCGACGGAAACCTCCCTTCTCGAACTCCTGCTGACTGTACGTCACCATGGTGCTGCGTCCATTTCTTAGATCGTCTGACTTTACTTAGGAACTTTTGTGGCTCTTTGGGAAACTTAAGATCTCCTCAAACTATCTCCTTCAAGACCTCTCCTTCCCCTCACCCCCACTCCTCTTTCCTCCTTTACCACCGCCATGTTCCCTTTAGCTCCCTTACATCCTCTGAGATGTCGAAGAAAAGATACTTAACTTTCCCTAGGTTATATTTGTATGGTAAAACATTATTTCAGAAATTGTATACTTCATAAAAATTTATCAATGCCACCACTACTCATCATATGTCTTGGTAAAATGTTATTAATCAAGTTATTATTTTAAAAATGTTAACTTTATTAATCAATGTCACCCTAATAAATTCAATTTTTTAAAAAAGATAAAAAAAATAAATAAATAAAAATAAAAAATGTGTATGTCACAGAAACAACCAGATTTCCTTGCCAATTGTGTTATTTTTAGAATGAACTTTCATCAGATCTTTAACTATGGCCACTTTAACTAAATCTTTTGCTACCCACAGATAGCTGTTGTTTTACTCTGCTGCTTTCCTAACGGATTTTGCAACCAGCCACAGGCCAGACCACTTGTGTTTAACAAAAAGGGCCTGTCTTGAAGATTCATGAGAAAGGACTGTGCCAAGTACTCAGGAATACAGGCTTCTCATGGCATTGCTTAATAACTTTGAAATCAAACCAATAAACTAAATCAGAATTTCTAAAAGCCAGTGGGTTCATAAAACTGCTAACCCAAGATTAAGTAGAATACAATTAATTACATGGGACTGAGTAAACTGATAAAGAATGCCTATAACTTTTTATATATTTTGTTTGAAATTTTGCTGGCTCTTAAATGCTCTATTTTCCAGATGTAAGAAAAGCCCATTCTGTTTTCTCCTCAGCTATCTATGACTCATAAAACCTAGTGAATTTTACTTTCATAAACAAAGTTAAACTACTATGGAGTATTCTTATTTTCCTAGCAAAGTAGTTATTTGTTCATTGTTTTTGAGGTTTTGTTTAGTAAGAATCTGTCCTCTTTGTCATAGTTCATAGTTGAAAACACCAGTTATATTATGAAAGCTTTGACTGGAATGTCATGTTTGAAAATGATGCTTAAAGTCAGACATGACCAGGCAATTTCAAGGAACTACGGTTGACTTTCTGGAGCCACTGCTTACAAAGCCCTCTTGAAAAAACCGGCCTGGTATCTGGCTGAAGAGTTGAGAGACTTAGGTAAGTAGGGTAACTTCCTGGAGAGTCCAGGAAGCTCAGGATATTTTGGTGACCTTGAGAAGAGAGGAGTTCACCCGCTGAAGTTCATGAAGCCTGATGGAGTCTTGGCTTGACTTCCTAGCACTTCAGAAGCTTTTAAAGCCCAACATCAGATTCCTTATAAAAACTTCCATAAAGAAAACTTAAAAGGCCTGTCTGATCGATTATCGTTCTTGTTGGAGTTACATAAATAATCAGGTCAAACTTAATGAAACTAAAACTATTTTGTAAACAAGAATAATCTTTCTTTATCGCTGATTAAAAAGGAGGGGTGACTGGAGATAAATTTTGTTTCAGTGGAAAAGAGTAACACACTCCTGTGGGTTATCAGGATCGAGACTTGCTGACTTTGAGGTTGTTTACCTGTAAATGGAACGGAGTCCAGCCACCTTACCCGTGCTGTCAGCCCTTACCAAACCCTCAATTCTAGTTTTCTTCCGTATCTGCCCACAACTCTACAAACTTACGTTTCCCATTTTTCTCCTTCCCTCCTGAGCTGGTGTCACTAAGAAGTAAAGCCTGCCTGCCCAGATCCTTCCTGGGACTCAGGTTGTCTTGTAGTGGTCCCTTTCCCCCAGGCCCTGAGCAAGTCCTGCAGCTGAAGCCTGATAACAGCGCTGCTGGCAGGCACACGGGCCACCCAGAAAGCCCACCAGGACTCCTGCCTCTTCCACGCTCTGCTCTGGGCAATAACCACGACTGTGGCAATGATGCCTGTGCCATCACCATCAACCATCAACCAGGAAATCCATCAGATTGCCGCTGCCACCCTCGCGTCACCATCTAACGATGCTTAAGAGTTCAACGTCTTCTCAAGTGGCTGCACTCTCGACTAGGAAACTGGGTTTATAGCAGTGGTTCTCAACCTTCCTAATGCCACGGCCCTTTAATACAGTTCCTCGTGTTGTGGTGACCCCCAATTTCATTGTTACAAATTGAACATAATTAAAGCATAGTGATGAACCACAAAAACAATATGTAATTATAGATGTGTTTTCCGATGGTCTTAGGCGACCCCTGTGAAAGGGTCGTTCGACCCCCAAAGGGGTCGCGACCCACAGGTTGAGAACTGCTGGTTTATAGTCTGTTCCAACCAGTAATCTTTGTATTTCTTTTTGTTTCCATAGAGATGCTCCTCATTAAATGCCCGATCCCTCACATTATTTAGCAAATGTCCTATAACTACCGTCTCAACAGATGCTTTAGCTAGTCCTCAATAAACAAAAGGTGATCAAATGACTGGACTGGACTGGACATGTGGGCCAGTCAAATTCCCTCCCCCAGAATCTGGAGTTGGGTCTAGGGGACTCTAGTCAAATGGTGAAAGGCCTTGCTCTTATAAGGGGACAGGCCAAGGAGGACTAGAGAGCCACCCCGGTGGGAAAGGCCACTTCGGGGCGCCAGATCCAGGGAGGAGGCAGACAGCAGTGGCTTTAGAGGAGAGGATGGATGAACTGCCAGGGGCGCTGAGTCCAGCACCAGTGTTAGTTCCAGACTGCTTCCTGGTTCCTAAGCTCTATCCCCACAAAAGCCCCTAGCACCTTGCCCTACAATCGTGACAGGGACTTTTTCTTTGGATTCGGGGAGGTTGCCCTTAGTCCTTACAATAACTTCCCTTTACCTGGGCTCCCCTGAGTGGCTTTCTGCTTCTTGCATTCCAATGAACCCTAAGCTAAAAGGCCGTGATTCTCTTAGTTAAGGGGTGGCACCAGTCAGGAATGGATGGGAAGGTTGTTCTTGCTTAAAAACAATGGACAGAGTCTCTTCCCTCTGAGCCAGGACAGTGGGGACCAGGACGAACAGCCCACATTTGTGATTTGGGCTGAGCTCTGCCAGGGGTTTCTTCTCTTGGACTTGGCAGAAGAAGGGTGTGCAGGCTTTGCCAAATGGTGAGTGTGCAGCCTTGCCCTCGGAATCTACCTGTGTTGGTTTCAGCCCACATCCCTCATCTTATCCTCTACTTGTTAAAAGGGAAGGAAAGCACTTCTCTCATCGAGTCTCACTGGCATATCACTGTTTTTGGCACGCAGCTTGTTTTCCCAGCAAGACTGTGAATTCTGAAGGCAAAAATGCACTCTCATCTACATTTAAGACCTTCCCATTAAACCATCATTAATGGGTATATAATAGCTACGTGTTGAACGGCTGTTTATGTCTCAGTTCTTACAATTTCTTTCCATATTTGACAAAGTGAAGAAATGAAGACAATACCTTGTTCAAAAGCTCTGCTCAAATTGTCAGTCAATTCTTCCTGTTTAGCTGCAAGAGAAAACCATTATCTTAATTTTTCTATTTAGATAGGCTCATGATATGAAGACAAGGCTGCATTCCAGAGAGGTAGGGATGTTACAGGTCTAACCTCCAGACAAAATTGGTTTCAGTATACTCAAGGGGAAAAAAAAAAAATCCCTGAATCATTTATATTCATTTTTCACTTAACCCAGAAATGAACTCAAAACAGCAATAAAATGCATTTGGTGGTATTTTATCTTTTACCTCTGACAATAGATTCAAACTCGATAATGGCAGCTTCACTTTGAGCTTCTGCGAGTTTTTCATTGATATCCATTATTTCCATGAGGAATTGGTTGTCCATTTTATAATCTGTTCCTTCAGGAATCTCTACTCCATGGAGCTTTAGCTATTGGGGCATAAAGCAGGCGAAATAAGTTTTGTTCAAGGAACTGTGGCCAACATCATAAATCCTGCTCACCCTTCTGAACACACCACCACTCGGGGAGAACTTGGACTTTCCTGGTAATGAAAGTGCGAGGGCAGCGTGCTGGAAACTTAGACTGGGAAAGGAATGCTTGGACGGGGTACTTTTCTGCTACTCAGAAGCGTGTGACCCTGGGGGAGTCACTCCTCCACTTGTGAGTTTGAATTAAATGTTTGTAAAGATTCTATTAAATCCTAACATTCGAAGATATTCACCTCTGCCTTCCCCTCAACACCCCCAAATTACTTTCCTAACAGCCATCATCCTCCAGTCCTTGAAATTTATAGAAAATGTTTTGTTTTTTTTTTGTTTTTTTTTTAAAAATGCAATTGGGCAAGTAAGATTTACAGGTACTATCCAGAGAAAACTAGACTCCTGTAGTATCTTTGGGTCCCAGGACTGACTGGCTCAGGGCTCAAGCACTCCTTTGACAAAAATAAGGAGTAACTGCCCCTCAGTGCAATGAACACCAGGTAAGTCACACATACAAGGGTTGGAACATCACCTTACAAGGTATAGTCCCCTGCTCAGGGGGGCCAGAAGGGTCTTATAGGCGTCATTCACCAGGGTCGAATGCTTCTCTGAGAAGTCCTTTTCAGTCTGTGAGGGGAGATGAAGATAAGTCTTATTACCATGCAAGTCAGCCATCTTACAAGAACACACTGTTTCATAAAATACTGATGGGCAGGAACCTAAGGACATGGCCAAAGTAGAACCGCGAGATGAGCTATATTTATTTTCAACGGATGGGTTCTAATTCTGCCGACCAGGCCCAGGGCCTGGCTGGCTGGGGTCTGGCTGTCACAGGGTGGAGCTGGCTGTCCAGCTCTGTCCCTGATAATCAGTCACCGCCAGGCCCCTGCCACCCACCCGGAATGCACATGTGTTTGGGGATGATTAAGAGTGGCCAATAGACTACCTGAGACCTCTGGCCGAAGAAATCTGGGTGGACAAGACGCTGTAGCTGCTGGTACCTATGCTGGAGCTTTGCAGTATCAACATTGAAGGAACGTTTGCTGGAAGGAAATCGGGAGATGAAATTCATGCATCATATATGAATAGATTTGTATACTACGGGCCTCGTCCTGTTCCCAGGGAGGAATAGGCAATAAACATGCAACAGTGATAATTTCCAAAAGTGTTAGGTTCTGTGAAGAAAAAAACAGAACAGGGTCAGAGAGTGGGGTACATGTGGTGGACAACGAGCTGCTTTTGAGCTTCGACTTGAATGATGATGAGTCATCAAAGATCCTGGGCACGTCATCCACACAGAGGAAACATGCTAGTTTGGCGCCAGGAGGAACTTAAAAGGTTACTTTTGTTGCTGCAGCCCATCCTAAGTGCTCAATGACTGCTTGAACGGGTAATTACTAGTATATCTTAGTGCTTACAATTTAACGGTGGCCCAGAGTTAAGCGGAAGGAGCATTGCTGGATTCTACCCTATCGTTCCAAGGCCACAGTCCCTTCATCTCAGTCACCCACCTTGTTTTGTTGTTGTTGTGTTTTTAATATTTTTATTGATTTCAGAGAGGAAGGGAGAGAAAGATAGAAACATCAATGATGAGAGAGAATCATTGATCGGCTGCCTCCTGCACACCCCCTACTGGGGACCAAGCCTGCAACCTGGGCATGTGCCCTTTACCGGAATCGAACCTGGGACCCTTTAGTCCACAGGCCGATGCTCTATCCACTGAGCCAAACCGGCCAGGGCTCACCCACCTTGTTTTAATCCAATCCCCTTTGCTTTCCACCCCCAGATCCTGCCCTATAGAGTCAGCTTAGCTCTGCCCAAACTGCACCACCACCTCTCCAAGCTCCTCAACCTTCGGAGGAAATGAGGAAGAACACCCATTTCTCAGATCCCCTCCTCTCCAATTCTCACTTTTCCAAACTTAGACTCCGCCCACAATATATCCCCCCCCCCCCGTTTTTACTCCCTTATCTTGGATCACACCCCCGTATTCCTTTCTTAAAAGCTTCAACCCAAATTTAATCGTTCTGACCCCATTCCTCAAGTAACCCTGCCCTGGGCCCCGCCCCTCGAGTCTCCCCCCGGACCCCCATCTCCCCTAACTTTATTCCCGCCCCCCCAGTCCTCCCTTCACAGACGTCTCCATCCCTGAAAGCCATTTCCTCGGGCCTGACCTTTCGTTTCCTCTTTTTCGGTTACACCCGACCCTCCATTTCCCCAGGCACCCCATCGCCCGGTCTCTAGGGTCCCGCCCACCTCTCTAACCGGTCCCCCCGTCTTCTCTAACCTGATCGATCGGCCCTTCCCTCGCCCACGCCAGCTCCCGACGTCTCTCTCGCCCAGCGCGTCCCCCGAAACCGCCTCCCGTACCAGTCCATGAGGCTGAAGTGGTCTCGAGTGGGGTCAGGTGGCTGCAGCGCCCGGCACTGTGGGCAGAAGAACCCGTCCTCGCGAATGGGGCCCCCGGGGCCGCCGCAGTTCCAGCACTGGGCGGAGCTGCTTCCTGCTAGCGACGCAGCATGGCAGCGTAGCGGCCTCCTTCCGAGGACCCCGGGCGGCCACAACCCCCACACCCGGGGCAAGGCCCCGGCCCTCCCGCCCCACATCTGGCCCGCGGCCTATTTCGCCGCGGTCACCTGTCCGGGGTAAAACGGCCAGAGCCGCGGACAAGGCTACGCTGCTGATTGGCTGGAGAGCTGAAAGGGGCAGGATCATTCCGGGAAAGCCTGGATTCTGAGTCCCGCTCTACGTTTTAAACTACAACTCCCAGCAAGCAGCGAGGCCACGCTTGGACGGCCACTTCCGCTGCTCCTCATTGGTCCGGCAGAGGCGGAGGGGTGTTTTGATTGGTTGAGGGTGGAGTTTGTATCTGTTTAGCCGCCACGCCGCTAGCTGCAGCTGGAGTGAGTGTGTGGCTCCAGGTGGGCTCACGCGGTGAGTGTTCGTGGGGGAACGTCCCTTGTGCGTCGCGGGGTTCGAATCCCGTCTTTAGTGTCTTAGTACGAGCTGAATTTCCCGAGTGTCTTCTTTTTGAGCTCGGGCCGGGAGGTGGGAGGAGAGCAATGCGTGGGCGACTCTCTTCCTTCTTTGTTGATGAACTTGTAGATGAACTTCCAGGTGAAGTTCATTTCCCCTGTTTGCTTACAAGCTGGAATTGGCTCAGACTTGCAGGCTAAGCAGCAACAAAGCTGAGTTCTTTCTGTAAGTGTTAATAATTATTACGGTACGTTAGGTTCAATCTCAAAAATACCTCTTGAGAACTCACTCTTAGCTGCTAGGCATTGCAGGAACTGGAAACACACCAACCTGTGTTGAAGGATTCTCTGCAAAGTGTCCATAAGTAAGGGTGTGGAGTGGGGTGGGGAGGAAAGGGCAGGAGAGCACTAGCCCTCCGTGGGACTAGGTTACTGTATTTGAAAAAGAAATTGTGTTGCATTTGTAAGGTGCTGTTGGATTCCTTAGGACTGGAATTCTGTTCTCCCAATAATCAAGCATTGCTGGTGAGGAGCATGCATGCACTTTCTCATTTAATCCTCAGTATTCACTTCTAGTAGATAAGGTTCCTCGAGGTTGTGATCTACCGAAAGGTCATGCAAAGATCTGACTCAGGCATCTGCCTCCAGACCTATTTGCCTCTAACTACTTCACTGTATTTTCTCATGGCTGTGGCCAGTGTGGTTCCCACCCGATTTTTACCCTTATTTCTCATACTCGATGATGGCTACCTCTTGACACTGTCTTTTTGGCCAGTTTTCAGGGTGGAGAAGTTTTGCTCCAAAACTGCAGGAGGACGGGCACAGCCTGATTGAGGTAGCGTTAGTGCAGCCCGAGTGGCAGACTCCTCTCTGGCATCACCGTCCTGGTGTGCTTTAAGGAAAACTCCTCAGGACCTTTGTATCTGGAAAGCTGTGTAAATGCAGTCAGTGTGAGTAAAGCTTACTGTGTTCTCCTCCAGTAGTCTGAGTGTGGGGATCAGGAGAGACAGTGTCTTTCAAAAAGAATCAGAGTGGGGATTTCAAGTTAGGGGTTGAAAGTTACTTTTGACTAATATTGTAGGTTTGGTTATCAGAGTTCAACTGTCCATCAAGTTCATTCTAAAGCCAGGGCGGGGAACCTCTGCTAAGGTCTCCTGTGGCTCAAAGAATGGTTCCTGCAGGATTCTGAAGGGCTGGTAGGCCTTTTAGGATGCTGACACGGTGAGCCTCTCGTTACTTAGCATCACAAAAGGCTAATGGGGTTGTTTATGGCCGGCTTCTTTGTGTTCTGCCTCAGTCTGTGGCCTAGCACTTAGCTGTTGAGGAATCTCTCTACTCAACCAACTGAACTTGGTCCTTACCTTCCTGAGCTGGTTTGGGGGAGGAGGGACATCAGTGACCTTTTAAGTGAATATCCCCCCTCGAGTGGTGCAGCAAATAAGTGTCTCCTTGCCCATCTTCTACCACCAGACCCTTCTCCTTTCTCTTTCCAAACATATATGACATGTAAGTGTAGTGTTGATTTGTATGAATGAATACACTTTAGGCTTCATTTCTACATTTTAAAGATTGGGCAACTATAAGCTGTTGTAAGTCTCTTCCCCCTCCTCAACTCAGTTTCATAGCTCTTTACTTATTTATGGCCTTCAAGTCATTTTTTTTATTTCTTTCCTCTGTGGCTTGTGGCTATCGGACGAAAAGCTGATCTAGTGAAAGTGAGCTGAAGAAAAGCTCTGCCCAGAAGAACTGTGTGTCTAGACTGTTAGAATTTTAATTTTTGCAGAGCATGCTTGCCCTGGATTATTATTTTTTTTGTCATTGTAATATGCTCATCCTTCACTTTAAAAAAAAATATTGATTTTTTACAGGGAGGAAGGGAGAGGGATAGAGTTAGAAACATTGATGAGAGAGAAACATCGATCAGCTGCCTCCTGCACACCCCCTACTGGGGTTGTGCCCGCAACCAAGGTACGTGTCCTTGACCGGAATCGAACCTGGGACCCTTCAGTCTGCAGGCCGACGCTCTATCCACTGAGCCAAGCTGGCTAGGGCTCATCCTTCACTTTTTTTAAAAAAAAGTATTTATTGATTGATTGACCTTAGAGGGGAGGAGAAGGGGGGAAGAGAGAGAACGAGAGGGATAGAAACTTGGATTTGTTGCTTCACTTAGGTATCCATTCATTGGTTGCTTCTTTTATGTGCCCTGACCTAGGATGGAACCTGCAATCTTGGCATCAGGATGATGCTCTGACCAACTGAGCTACCCTGCAAGGGCCTCATCCTTCACCCCTGAACTTTCAGCCTTGTTCCTGGAAACCCACCTTATTGTTGGACGCTTACTTTTGAGGCGGTGATGTCTCAGGAAACGGAAGGGGAGCGTCAGCAGTCCCAAGGAACCTCCTTGCAGACACCAGGCCCCTCCTCGCAGACACCAGGCCCCTCCTCGCAGATACCAGGCCCCTCCTCGCAGACACCAGGCCCCTCCTCGCAGACACCAGGCCCCTCCTCGAGCACATCCAGCTCCTCCGCCAGCACAGTGCCCACGTCCAGCCAGTCCTCTCACTCCAGCTCGGGGACGCTGAGCTCCTTAGACACAGTGTCCACCCAGGAACTGTATTCTATTCCTGAGGACCAAGAACCGGAGGAGCCGGTCCCTGCCCCTTGGGCGCGATTATGGGCCCTTCAGGACGGATTCTCCAATCTTGGTAAGACCCTTTGTTCTGTAGTGTCATATTAACATTGTGTTCAGAAAAAGCAATTACAGATATTTGTGGCAGCAGAAAGCCCAAGACACTGCCGGTTGTGGGGCCCGTACCAGTTGATCCAGGACTGTAAGAACCTGTGCTGAGACTTGAACTTGTGCCATCGTCTGCCAACTTCCCTGCACGAAAACAGCTTCTATTCACCTGATGCTGGGTGGGGTGTTGGGACCATCTTTTTCAAAGTTCAGAATAATCCTGTGAGAGTCTTCATCCTTATCTCCATTTTACAGAAGAACAAACTGGGGCTTAGAAGGAAATTGATGAACTTGTTTATAATCATACAGCCAGGAGTTGGTAGAAGAATGGTTTGAACCTACAACTTTTAGACTTTTGACCTATGTTTTTCATGAGCCATTACGGAAGAAGTGAGTGGAGTGAGAAAGGTAATGAAATTAGTTGGTAGCCTAATGAGCCTGTGGAGCCCAAGGAAGGCTTGCTGCAGCAGGAAATGAGTGTGAGAGAAAAGGCTGAGAGAGAAAGTGAAAGAGATACTTAAAATGCTTGGGGGGGCGGGGCGTGGGGGAGGGCGGTGTCCTGGCCACTGTGGCTTAGTCGGTTGAGCGTATTCCCATGCACCCAGAGGTCATAGTTGGATTCCCTGTCAGGGCACATGTCCAGGTTGTGGACTCGATCCCTAGCAGGGGGTATGGAGGAGGCAGCTGATCTATGTTTTCCCCTCCCCTCCCTAAAAACGTATTTTTTAGAAATGCTGGCGTGGGAAGGAAATAAGAGAGACTATATAGCTGGGGGGATGGGGAAAGGGTGAGGGTGCTGCAATCAGACACGAGTTCAAGTCCCAGCTCTGTCTCTGGCTCTGTGACCTAAGGCAAATGATGGTACTTTTCTGAGCCTCACAGTCCCCATCTGTGAAATGGGGAAATCATTTCAAAGCAAAGGTGAGAGAGAGCAACCAAACGTTGGGATTGAATGGGACCAAAGGGAGAGATGAGTTAACTTTTCCCAGATGCCCTTAATTTTTCAGAGACAGCGGTTCTCAACCTGTGGGTCGCGACCCCTTTGGCGGTCGAACGACCCTTTCACAGGGGCCGCCTAAATACATCCTGCATATCAGATGTTTACATGAGGATTCATAACAGTAGCAACATGACAGTTATGAAGTAGCCACGAAAATAATGTTATGGTTGGGGGTCACCACAACAGAAGGAACTGTATGAAAGGGTCGCGGCGTTAGGAAGGTTGAGAACCACTGTTCTGAGAGGACGGTGAGCTTGAACTTGGAAGAGGTCTAGAATCCTGGCAAAGGAAAGGACGTACTTGAACTTTCAACTCACATGTCAAAAACCACGTATCTCTTCCTCTCTCCCCGAACACCTCTCACCCGCACCCCCTTTTTCTTTCCCAGGAGGAGGGGCCCATCCTTCTTTGGGTTCTTGCCTCTCATTGTCTCCCAGAGCTCCTGGTCCCCTGCCTCCTACCTTGTTCTTGTCTGCACACATCTGCCTGAGGGGTCTTCTAATGGAGCAAAGGTCGGAGCAGGCCTTCCAGGGGAGGCTGCCCCTCGCACTCTCTGTCCACCAGTCCTGGGAATCGAACTGATGACCTCTTTGGTTCTTGGGCGGATGCTCAACCACTGAGCCACTGGCCAGGCTGTGTTGAACTTTTTTTTTTTTTAATATATTTTATTGATTTTTTTTTTTTACAGAGAGGAAGGGAGAGGGATAGAGAGTTAGAAACATTGATGAGAGAGAAACATCCATCAGCTGCCTCCTGCACACCGCCTACCGGAGATGTGCCAGCAACCAAGGTACATGCCCCTTGACCGGAATCGAACCTGGGACCCTTCAGTCCGCAGGCCGACGCTCTATCCACCGAGCCAAACTGGTTAGGGCTGTGTTGAACTTTTTCAAGAACCACAAACTTGTCTACGGTGGCTGTGCCGTTTTACATTCCCAC